TTTGGCTTAATACAGTGCAAACATACTGTGACTTCAAAATCATAACAACACAGAAATGAAGCTTTACAGTGTTTAAAAGTGGTACTGAGATGTAAATTCTTCTCTTAATAGTCTTTGCTTACAGAAAGACCATGGGAAAACATAGATAGCTGCAGGTACAGTAGTAATGGTCTACTCTGTACTAACAGAATAGCCCCGTGTGTCCTGAAAAACACCTGACTTCAGAATCTTTCTTCTATTAATGTAAATCTTGTATGAAGTGAGACAACTTTAGATTAAACAAACAAGACAGCTTCCTCCCTCTCTCTCTCTTTGTCTCTGTCTGTGTGTGTGTCTGTCTCTCTCTCTCCCTCTCGCCTGGTATGAGTTGGGAAGTCTTAACATAAAAGAAAGTGACATGCACACATTAAGACATATCTTTTAAGCCAACTTTCTTAAAGAGGTCAATCATAACAGGCCAGTAGCGTGGCAGGCTGAGAGTTAGTTGCGGGTGGCACTCGAATGCAAGACACTGTTTATTTAGATTTCAGAGAAGTATATGACATAGGACCACTTGTGTTATATTGATGGGCAGAGAAAAGAGGGGTAAATGAATCAAGAATAGGCCTGGGGACAAGGCAGACAATTCTAAACCAGCCTTTTGATTTAACACCAAATCCTGATTGGCATATCAAGTCCTGAAAGGAACTAAAACTTCCCCCTGCCTACCAAAAGAAGCTTGTTTTTGTGAGAGGTGCTGATGTTCTTTTTTTTCTTGTTTGAACATTATAAGCAACAACAGCAAAAAGAGTTTTTTTAAGGCATGTTAGAAAATAATGGGGGTAGGGGTTTACGAATATAACTGCTGATATGTTTTACATCATTTAACTCCAGGCTCCATCTGAAATAACAAACACAAGCATCGGTGACTCCAAACACTTTGAAAGAATTCCATGGAGACCCACATTTGCCTTCACACCTGCTCTGGTTGTGTTTTTGTTTTCTGGCTTAATACAGTGCAAACATACTGTGACTTCAAAATCATAACAACACAGAAATGAAGCTTTACAGTGTTTAAAAGTGGTACTGAGATGTAAATTCTTCTCTTAATAGTCTTTGCTTACAGAAAGACCATGGGAAAACATAGATAGCTGCAGGTACAGTAGTAATGGTCTACTCTGTACTAACAGAATAGCCCCGTGTGTCCTGAAAAACACCTGACTTCAGAATCTTTCTTCTATTAATGTAAATCTTGTATGAAGTGAGACAACTTTAGATTAAACAAAGTACATTAAATTATACCTGGTCTATAACTTCTATCTCCCCCATATTAGGAAAGCTCTTTTATTTCTTTTGTAAAATCATCACCAGCACCACCACCACGCAGGGTGCACTCAATAACCTTCTCATGGCTTTAAGGATATTTTGACCCTACTCCCACCTTCTCCAGCAGAAGGTGACGGCAGCTGGTAACTCATCATTTTATTAAAGATTCCTGATGTTACCTCTGTCTAAAGACATTTGCAGCCAGTGAAAATGTTAGGTCTTGGCTCCTGAGCACTCTTTGGTCCTCAGGAAAGTCAGTCTAGTAGTACTGGCAATGACCAAGGCCAGGACACCATGAAGCTCTGTGTTTATTCTGTTTCTCTGGGATGGTAGCAGCTGTGAGTTTCAAATACCATCTGCCGAAGGCAAATGCCTAGTTAACTGTGCTATTCTCGATTTCTTCACAGTCCAACCTCTCCCTGCTCTGCTATCCCCCTCCCAGCCTTCTTCACTCTCCAACAGGCCTGAAACACAGTCACAACACACGTGGATCCCTGTGGCTCAGGAGCTGTTATGCCTTAAACAATACTCTCATCTGGCACCTCCCCTGCCCTGTGCTCTTGCTCTGAAGGCATCTGGAAGAGAATTTCATCCCTTTTATAAAAGGTGTATACGTATATACCAATACATATTATTGAAATGATGCTATGTGTTTTCAGTATTTGCAAGGGATTTCTTAGACAGGAACTAAGCACATTAAACATCATTAATTATCGTCTCTACTAATTGAGAATGAGATCATTCTCCGGACTGACATTCATCTTTGCATTATCTGTGGAAGGAAGAGGTTTGCTAAGTAAATAGAGTAGAAATGATATTTTTGTGGTAACATTTAATGGGAAGAGAAGATTTCTAGGGACTCTAAGGCTTTCATTTATATACTAACAACAAATTATTTTCTACCTGGTCACTAAAGTCAGCCGTCTCCTTCCTGGCTTTCCCATCTCTGCACAGCCACTATCATTCCCTAGTTCCACTTGCTTATCACAAAGCTAACCAGGTTCCCACATCAGTCAGCTGGCCCTCTGTCTGCTTCTCCCACTTGCCCCCACTCCTTCTTTTCTCTCTAGCCCAGGCCCTCATTAATAATGCTGCCCTGGAACTATAGGATCCCCATGGGGCTCCTGTTCCTTGTCCCCATGCTCTCCAATGATTCAGCAATCTTCTGTCCAATTGGTCTTCAGAAATTTTCTGTAAGAATACTTGATGCTGATACCCCAGAACTTAAAGATCCTCAGCTCTAGCTTTAATTTCTTTTTTCCCTGTGCTGCTTTTAGCAGAGTACTAGAATAAATTCAGGTCCATATGTGTCTGAGATCCTTGGGGCTTCATACTTTTTCTGATTTCAGGATAATGATATGGTGCATGAAACATATTTTATGTAACATCCCAGAAGGCCTGGAGCAATACCTCATAATCAAGCACATAGGTATTTCTGCAACAAAATGTATGAATTTCACTCTTGTTGTAATACATAAAGGCTATAAATAGCCTCCCATTAGGTTTTATGACCAAATAGTTTATTCAAAAAAATTTGGTTGGGAGGATTTTTTGGATTTTAGAATTGTGATTAAGGTAGGTATAGAATGACCATTTATTACTATGCAGACTTGAAAGGAATAAGTCTTACTTAAATGTCTCCATACTGCAAACTTTGGTTAATTCAGATTGGTCTTCTCCACAATTAGCCCAAATTATTAAGGTTTTCCTTATAAAACTGTCTCCAGATTACAAGAACTTCATGATCACAAGGTTGTCGCCATCGTTTAAAGTTTTTCTATTTTTAACTCTGTTTCCAAAGCATTTTCACCTTGCTTACTAAAAAATAAAAGTACCTTTTTAGCTGTGTATTTTAGCAAAATGTAAATATAGTCATTTTGCTTTTCCTCTGCCTAAAGAAAGCTTTGTTGAAGTACAGTAGATCGATTATCTCCCAGCAGGGTGGACTTACATTTTAAAATTCCAAGTTGCGTTGACCTCCCCCGCAAAATAAGAGTTAAGCTTTTAAGTATGAATTTATCTAATTTGTAACTTAAGTTTATCAAGCAAATCACAAAAAACTCCTATGCACAGTTAAACACATACTGATATCTCTGTTTTAGGTCTAGTTTTAACTCGACCAGTAAATCCTTCTTTAAATACAGCCAAGGCAAACATTAAGCCAGCAATACAGGGTTTGTATATACATCATGGGATGCTGGCCATATGGATCACAGCACTCTGATAGGCAGTTATTTTGACATTAGAAAGTCACAATCTATCAACTTAACAGCAGGGCAATAATTTTGGGACCGGGGCGATGGCTATTCAAAATTACACCATGGGAAGTAAACAGTAGTTCCAAGAGCCCCTGTTTGGGAATGAAGATAAAAACTAAGCAAAATTTTTTTCTACCTCTAGAACCAGCTATTATGTAATGTGTTTTTGTGTAAGTATGTTTTTTCTGGTGGCTGCATAGAAAAGCCTTGCCTGCAAAGCTAAAAAAGCACGTAGCTGTCCGGACTCTGGCTGGATGTGTGGCAATGAGAAGAGATGGAGCTGCCATCACAAGACTAACAACAATGACAGAGAGCTGCTTCCCCCACTGCCTGTCACAAACCACTTCCAGTGACCTGTGATGCCCCAAGCCAACAGTTCAGAAGATGTCACTTGACTCCTTCGGTATTGCAAACTAATCAGATCGCCAGTGCTCTGTGACACAGGGCTCCCTAAGGGTGTGGAGAACACTTGGACTTTATTCTCGAAAGAGCTATGGGGCCAACAGCCCTGCTGTGAACCCCTCCTGCACACACAGAGCCTTGGTCTCCCACTCTACTCTGCTGGACAAATGAATGTGGATAGAGGCCGCTGACTGCTTCCGAGATTCTGTCAACAGCTGGGAAGGAAGGTAACAACCGGCAGGAAGCTTCCTGGCTGCCGGACTGGTGGTGGGGTGGGGGTGGGGAGTGGGCAGGGAGTATGGACTGCAGTGCAGGGGTTCTCAAGTGTTCTCATTTCTCATTTCATAACTCTGAGAACAAACGCATAAAGCCCCGAGGCACGGCCATGCTGTTGATAAGGGGACAGCAAGTACATCTCTCCTTTTACTCTGGAAAGGAGAAAGGAAAGAGGAAGAATGGATAAGAAACTATGTATTGATGGCTTAGGTGGCAGAAAGGAGCATTAGACGGAGATGTGTAGATACTAGGGCTAAGAAGAGAGGTAGAATCTGGGTGGCAAGATTTTCTTAATGAGCTACGTTGCTTCCACGGAAACTGAAGTGGTCTCTGTGTTGGCCCACACCCCACAGGGGTCATGACCTGCCCTGTTGGGGACTAGTGTTCCTGCCACACACCCCTCCCCCTACCCATGGTATCTTCCTGGCTGCCAGCATAAAATATTGACAATGTGTAAAAAAAAGCAATTTATTTTCAGGTTATATTGTGCTACTTTAAAGAATAAGAAATTCACTATATGAACAAAATATCAGCAGGTAAAGAACAGTAAGCTCTTAAAGCAAAGATGAAGAGGTTTATTATTGTCTATATTTTATTTTAATAAACTTTTGTGGCTGTTTAAATTGGGTTTCCCCGTTTTCCAAAACCCGGCCTTCATATGAATAACTGCAACACATAAGCTGAAAGAATCTGAAAATTCACACATTTCAGAAAAGTAATTTTAAAGCAACCAATAGCAAGTCAACAACATTTCCATACCTGGAGCTGATATCCTTCCATGAGGCACAGCTTCGCCGGGCAGCAGATCTTTTGAATTAGAGGTGAATGGTGATTGTCTAAATGTATCTTCTGAAAAGAAAGGGCTGGGGGTGGGGAGGAGGAGTGACGTTTAGTAAACTGAAGTTATTTAAGGCACCCAGAGTATCTGGTCCCAAACATATACACACACAATATTGGATAAGGTGATATTGTTGTTTTTACAGTGGTGTTTAGAGACTATAAGAAGATTGTGCTTAAAACGGAAAAAGAGAAAATATGAGACAAGTGCCATCTGTACATTCTGCCTATTAGTTTTATATGTGGGGTGAACAAATGAAAACAATATTGGATAAGGTGATATTGTTGTTTTTACAGTGGTGTTTAGAGACTATAAGAAGATTGTGCTTAAAACGGAAAAAGAGAAAATATATCACGTGAGACAAGTGCCATCTGTACATTCTGCCTATTAGTTTTATATGTGGGGTGAACAAATGAAACATCATCTTTGAAACACTGTTGGACCCACAGAGGAGAACACTGAACACCAGGTTTCACTCCTGCCCTGTGCTCTCGGTGAGTGTGCTGGGCCCAAACAAAGGCCAGCTTCCTGGGTCCCAATCAGAAAGGGCCTGTCTGTGGCTTTTCCCAGGGTGGAGATGGAACTGCCCTGGCTCACCCACATTCTGGCACCTGACCCCTCAGGGACAAACAGCACGCATCAGAAAGACAGACAGCTAGAGCCAGGGGCCTTTACACTGGAGGAAACAACTCTCGGGTCCCCACAGAAATGGAAACAGCCTCCTGGATTTGTGTTGGTTCTTTCTGAAGCAGTTAATGCCAGAAAGGGGGATGCAGGAAAGGACTCCAAGGGACACCTTTTTTTCACATGAAAGGGAGCTCTGACCTGAGTGACCCCAAGCTCCCCTAGTGACCCAGTCATAACCAGAACCAAGGCCATCAGATGTCCCGCCAGTGTTTCCCCTGATACCACAGCCACAGTGAACACACAAGTTTAGATGCTTTTAATTAGAGGATTCTAACCCAGTCACAGCACCCATCTTCCATGCCTCTAAAATAAACTGTAAATAAGTATTGTGATGCCACGCGAGAATACCAGAGTATCCATTGGAGTCCAGCCTGGAAAAGGGAAAGCCCTATTTATTTACAACTAGGGGGACTGGGTACCCAGGTGGTGGAAGGTCCACGGGCAGTAACACAGCCCAGAGACAGGAAAAGCAGGAAGCCTCCAACACCCTGAGGCTGGTGGGACAAAAGGGTGAGGCTGGAGGACAAAAAGAGGAGGTAAAGGAGACTAGAGGTTGAGGCCACCTGGTGGGAGCTGGAGGCAAGGTGAACCTGCCCAGCGGGAGCTGGAGCCGTAGAAGAGATGCAGCTGCTGTGGGAGACAGAGGGAGAGAAATACCCGATGCGGCCTTACCCTACCCCTGCCTCCCACCAGGGCCTCTGATTGGCCGACTGTTCCCAGAGCGCAACCTGCAGATCAGGGATGGACAGATCTGTGGGCACACAATCCCAGGACTCCCAGGACTGGCGCTGCACTTCTAAACATGCCACAAGACTATGTTAGTATTGTTAAATATTAAAAAAGGAATATTAAGATGAAAACAGAGGACTTTTTTTTTTTTTTAGAAAAGTCGGGCACACAATCCCAGGACTCCCAGGACTGGCGCTGCACTTCTAAACATGCCACAAGGCTATGTGAGTATTGTTAAATATTAAAAAGGGAATATTAAGATGAAAACAGAGGACTTTTTTTTTTTAGAAAAGTAGAATGTACATTGATAAACAATGCAGTTTTGCATGACTTTTAGGCTAGATTTAATGTAACTTTGTATGACATGATTTTTATTTATGTATCTTAAACACAAAACAATTTAGATAGGCTTAAAAAGTGAATTGTCTAGAGGAGATGCCAAGTGGGGAGAAGGAAAGGGGGAGATATATTGTTTTATACCAAACATGTCATAAGCTGCAAAGGACAGAAACACTTTGAAGGACAAGGCAGTTGCACACAGTGGCTAAGTGCATGCACTCAAAAGCAGGCAGTTCTGGCTTCAAATTCCAGCTCCACCAGCAGCAGCTGTGTGACCTTATACACGTTATTTAACTTCCCCAAGCCTTCATTTCCCATCTATAAAATGGGATGATAACAGCATCCACACCTCACCGAGGAGCTGTGAGGATTAAATAAGGTAGTCCATGGAATGTGCTTTGCATGGTGCCCAGAAAACAGTAAGTGCTCAATAAATGTGAGATATTTTTTCATTTGTATCTCTGTCTAGCCCAAAGGGGAACATAAATCAATCAACTTTTCCACACAACGTAACAAACAGAGTAGAGTCTCCTTTGTACAAAAGCCATAACAAAATAAATGAAGAAAAGGCCACTCTGATTTTGAAGGGCTCGTTAACTGCTAGGGTGATTAGGCTAATTTTCGACCCATCCATAAAGAAAACTGCTAAGGATCAAAGAACCTTTAAGGAAGTGGAGACCTTGGAGGATTGCTGGTTAAACACAGAGTGTAAAATTTCTCAATCTCACATCATTGGCTCTCAAGCTTATACACAAGCTGATAGTGACACCCTCATGTCTGAGTGAGAGTCCACACAGGAAACACCATGGGTGGGCTCATGGACACAGGGTAAAGGTCAGGCAACAGGCCTCTGGGTTGCTGTGACTCTTTAACTGAGAGTTCAGGGGAGCTCATGGTCTGAAATGTGGGGACAGCAAGAGTCTCAAGAGGGGCCCCCAAAAGGATGCTTAGAAACACCGTTGCTGTAGAAAAATGTGTGCACAGCCTGCATTCCCGCAGTTCTGAGTGCCTACGATGTGCCAGGCACCAGGAACGCAATGGTCAGCAACGCTGGCTGTGGTTGTAAAGTCAGGGAGCACGCATTAACCTAACCACCACAAACGCAAAAGAGAACATGAGCGTGGCTAAGACTGTGGAGGAAAGGGCTGCGGTGTTACCATGGGGGGCTGCCCGGACCAGGGAGGCTACAGCTGAGCGGAGTGGAGAACAGGGTCATCAGGGTTCCAAGGAGCTGGGGAATGTGGCCCCAGCACCATGCGAGAGGCCAGCCAGGATGCAGAGCTGGAGGAAGGGCCACTGTGGAGGGAGATGAGGCTGGACCG